CCATTACGCTAACTGCTGATTCCCCCTTGTGGATTGTTAAAACACTCCTAATGACCAGGTTCTGAAGGGTAAATGCCTCACTTACATGAAAACAGACCAGGATGGGGCTGGCAGGTGGGATGGTGGTTAAGGGCGCTAGACTCCCTCATGACTGACCATGGTTTGAGTCCTGAACCTCGTGGCTTCCTTTCTCACCTTCTCTCTCTTCCCGTCTCTCTGGTCAAATTAAAATAAATTACATTATATAATTCTTAAAAAAAAAAAAGACTGATTAAAAAACAAAACAAAACAAAAAAACAGACCAGGATGTAAAACCACTGAAGAGATACTTTGATTTGACTACGATTCCTAAGGGTGAGACTGAATTCTGAGAAGAAGCAGCAGTGATGAGATTCATGCCAGGACTTGGCGCTTGTTGGCAGACAGGGATTAGGGACATGAGAGAAATTGGTCCCAAAAGTCCCTGAAGTGTTGTAAAGGCTGAGGACTGAGGGAGATATTTAGAAGCCATACTTGGTTTAGAAGATAGGTTCATCTTTCTAGAGGAAGGTAAGTTCCTTGCCAGTCCCAGCATCTCTCTCAGCTGCCTTTTAGGCTGTTATGTTCTTCCTCTGTGCTTGAGAGCTAACTATGAAGACACAGAAAATAGTAAAGGAGATTCACCGTAAGGTCTTAAAAATAATATAATGGTACTAATTATGCCTTATGACAATATAGAAAAATATAAATTTTGTCACTGTCTTTAGCTTTTCTAACTTCTGCAAAAATCCAGACGATTTAGCAGCATCACCAAATTTTTACTTGATTTTTGACTTTATATCCAGATAATCAATAGTTTATCAACCTGACATTTATCACGTGAAATTATTCACACAGTCTCATAGTTTTTCTGTGTATTGAACAATTTCCACTTTGGGTTCATAGCAGAGAAACATCTGATAACCTAAAAATGAAGAGCACAGAGTGGCTGCGGTGCATCAGATCACAAGAATGGCAATGACCATTTTATGGGTAATTTGGCTAACTACTTGCCATTCCCATTACTTAATACAAATCTTTGTGGTCCTGATGAAACTGATGAAAATTCTGGTCTAGTTCCAAGATACAGAATGTTCTAGAGATGTGGTCTCCTATTTCTTCTTTTAAAAATGAGAACTGTAATAAGACCCTACCTTAAACTAGTCTTTACAAGGACCTCGAAATCTTTGACGATACTATATGTTTTCCCTACTCTCAACATGCACTAGTAAAAAAAGCATTCATTTTCTTTTTCATGAATTCATTTTTATATTGTCTCCTGTATCCACATGTTCTGAAAGGTTTTGTGTATAGTGGTAAGCATGGTATTTGAGAACCATAGCTTCCTCCTTCTTGGAGAACATGGACTAAGAGAAAATAGAATGTAAACAACCTGAGTCATCAATTACAGAAATTAAAATTCTGGAAGGTAAAGGTAAACAGAAAGCTTCTGACAGGGTTAGGAATATCTGTTTAGTCACTAGATTCCCTCAGGATTGTATTGTCCTGGTCTAAATTGGAGGAATAGCAATGGAACATCAGCATACTTGTGTTATGCCTTATGGAGATAACCAGGCACAGAAAGACATGCTATTGTACATACAGATTCAAAAACTAGAAAAAAAATCACACACTGTTATATCGAAATAAGGAAATATGCTGGTTCTAGTAAGACTTTCAGAAAGACATTAGAAAAGCCTTTTAAAAAATCAACTATTGAGGGGCAGCAGGTGGTGCACTGATTAAGGTGCTGGACTCCCACATGGCCAACTGTGATTTGAATCCCAGACAAGGCAGTTTGAAAATCATGCTGGGTGACTGTGCGCATGTGCCCCAAATCCCAGGAGGAGAATGAAGAAGAAGGGATTTAAGTGTGGCCATCCCCCATGTAGGGTGATCTCTCACTTTTCCTCTCATTGTCTGTCTCTGTCTCTCTCTCTCTGGTGAGCATATTGTGCCCTATGGCAAAAACCTTGAGGAGGAAATAATCAATTATGGTATTAGCTAATCTTTAATAACACTTACCTACAGGAGACACTGTACAAATTATCTTATTATCTCATAAAGTTAATCTTTATGTTAACTTGAGAGGATAGATGTTGATAACATCTGCTCTTTGAAGATGAGAAAACTGGCATTCATAGAGATTAAGTTGCCAAGATCACTCAGTTGGTAAATAGCAGAGCTGGGTGATGGTTTCCACTCCATAGCTCATCTTCTTAACCCTACTAGACTTTATTGCTAAGACTGTGAGCCAAAAAGCGACCAGCCTGACTGGCTGTGTTTTCAGTGACTGGAGACTGGTGCTGCTGCTGCCTGTAGCCACATCCTTAATTCTGTTGTATCTGAGCTCCACACATGTTAAGCCAAGTCTCACCCGTGTAATTTTGTTTTGAGTCAGTCGTATTTTTGGAGTAGTCTCTAGACATATGAAAACCACATGGATCCAGAAGATTAAGTAGGAATTCTGAGTAGAAATCTTTTCATCTTTCTCTCTAGTATCAGTCAGCTTAACGCCTTCATGAATATGAGAGCCTCAACTTAAGGAATATCATTGGTTGTCAAGTCCTGAGTTCTCTGAGTATGCCAGTGGCAAATCCCCAGCTAATTCATAACTAGAATCAAGATGCGATTTATGTAATCATAGACAAATATAAGGAAATTCAAATGTTAGCTCTACTTCCATTTCTAAATCACTGCAAGATTATGGGCCAATCATCCTTTCTATACCTTAACCTCTCTTGACTTTCAAGTTGCAGGTATCTATATATTTATTTATTTTTAAATTTCCAAGAGGGCATGTGTGCTTCCTGGAGAGAGACAGAGATGGGGAGGGAGAGAGAACCCCCTTGTACCAGGGTTATGCTACAATCCCTTCTCCATTTCTCCCTCCTTTCAAGATTTTGGGCATACGTTGTACATATGTTCAACATGTTTTTGAAGCCACTGGGTCCAGAACTTGAGCTGGAAAGTTGGCCATGTGAGATTCAAGCACCTAAACAACCATGCCATGGTTAGCCTAGGTTGCAAATATTAATACATATCTTATTATCTAATGAACATTTTATAAAAATTAGATGAGACAGTGGATCACAGGAAACATTGAAAAAACTGAAGTAGTCATTAATAAATGATCACTCTCTAAGGTCCATGCCTACCTAGGTCATGCCATTTCTTCTTCCCACATGTAACTGTACTCTAACATTTTCCTTTTTTCCAGGGCCTAAAGATCAAATGAACTGGTTCTGGCAAATAAAATCAGGTAAGATGCTATTGACAAGTATAATGGTATTATATGTGAGTCTCTTAATTTCCATTTTCACCTCCATCTATCTTGGTTCACATTTCCATTTTAGCCAATATGGCTAACATATTTTCATTTTACATGGGTACATTTTCATTTTACCAGTGAAAATGAAAATGTTATGAATTAAGCTCTTTCAAGAATCTTAAAACTCTATCACTAAAGTAAAATCTAACCTTCTTTTCCCTAAGGATCAGCCTGACCCAGATCCAAGCAGTAATTAACAAAAAAACACATGAGACTTTATGTGGCTTCCTAATGGCGATTGTTGGCTAAAGGGAATGTTTATCAGTACACCAGCAGTCATGAAGCAGCTGAAACAAAGCCCTGATTGCTTTATATTGTCTAGGTTCTCTTTGAGCTTCTCTTCAAGCTCTATCTACTCTCATTTGTCCAGAGAAAACTCTGCATTCAGTGTTCAGTCTCCTTTAGTGGTGAGGACCTAGCCAGAGCAGTGCTCAGATCAGAAATAGACAAAAGCTTAATCTCCTTCAAGCAGGGATTCAGGGAAACAAAGAGATGACATTTTTCTGAAACCAAAAACCAGTTTGATATTTGACCAATTATTTAAATAAAAATAATAAGCACTGGGGCCAGCAGGTAGCATGGAGGTAAAAATGGCTGGATCTCACATGGCCAACTGCATGGTTCGAGTTCTGGAACCGGTGACTTGAAAAACACATTAGGTGCCTGTGCATGTGTGAACACAAAGAGGAGAATGGAGGAGAAGGGACTGCCATGTGGCCACCCCCCCCACCCCGTGGGGTGATTTCTCACTTTCTCTCTCTCTCTGGTGAGTGCAAGCACCCTATATCAAAAACTAACAACAAAACCAAAATAATAACACCAATATGAGGGGAAATTTCAGAGATCTTGTTTTCTTTCTTTCTTTCTTTCTCTCTTTCTTTCTTTCTTTTTTTTTTTTTTTTTAGGTTTTTGCCATAGGGTATGTGTGCTCACTGGGGAGATAGAGGGACAGTGAAAGGGAAAGTGAGAAATCACCCCATATGGGGGTGGCCATGCTGCGATCCCTTCTCCATTCCCCTTCTGAGATTTTGGGCACACACACATATTCC